TGTGCTCCACGGCATCCACATTCCAAAGCGCGGATAACGGGACCAGCCCAGGTGGACCCTCGCTGGCCCTGGTGGCCCTGGCCCTGACCGCAGAGAGGACTCAGCCAAGAGGCAAAGAGGCCCAGCGGCGCCTTTGTCCAACCTAGGGACAGGAGGGTCTGACTCGGTGGCTCCGAGTCTGCGGGGGCCTGCCTTTTAGGGAGAGGGCTGCCAGCGTGCACACCAGTGAGAGCAGAGTTCTCCTCTAGGGTGGCTGTGGAGCCATGGCAGTCTGGGGTACAGCTGGGCCCGGGGAGGAGGGAGAGAGCTCTCCAGGCCCGGCTACCCACTCCAAGCAGGCTCTAAGTGGGAGAGCGTGGGCATCCACAGAGCACCAAAGAACGCAGCTATTAGTCTGCAAAATAGGAAGGCGCTTGCCCCTGGCCCCAAAAGGGCCGCAGGCTATATCAACCTGGGACCCCAGTAGTAGGCCCACTGGGTGCTTCATGGGGACCAATGTGTCCCCCTAGGAGATGGGTGGTGACTCCACCCTGTGTTTGCGGCCTGGCCAGGCAGTCCCCAAGGACAATGGTCCCAACTCTGTCACCTCACAAGGTTTTGCACTCGGGGTCTGGTGCAGGATCCCGGGTCCCCATTTGTCAGCTCTGTGACTATGGCTGGTAGCTTCCGCTCTGTGTCTTGTGTCATCCCTCAGTAAAAGAACAAAAGGCTGGCCCCTAGCGTAGAGCCAGATCCCACATGGCCAACCGCGGTTCGAATCCCAGCCCTCCTGGCTTGAAAAACATTCCAGGTGTGTGTGTGCGCGCATGTGTGTGTGTGTGTGTGTGTGTGCAAATGCCTCAAATCCCTGACGGGCAGGACAAACAGGAAAGATAGTGCCGTGTGACCACGCCCACGAGGGTGCTTTCTCTCTCTCCCCCTCCCTCCCTCCCTCCCTTTCTCTGGTGACAATAAGAGAAAAGAAGGACAATGCATCCTTCATCAGGGTGTAGGGAGGTGACCAGGTGGGCACTGAGACACAGCCTGGCCTGGCCCTCCAGCCCCACCCACGCACTGGCCTGCTGCGGCAGTGTCCACACAGTTTGCTTGTTTCCAGGTCTGCTCCGCACAGCACAGGCGGCTCTCCACTACCGGCATGCGGCCTAGCCCCGACAGCCTTCCACCTGGCACATCCTGGCTGCTCCCACGCCCAGCTCTGTGCTCCCCAGGAACACAAAGCAATTCTAGCATCATTATAAACCAAACGTAATTAGGAAGGTAAGTCTGTAACACAGAAATCTGGTATGTAAAGCATTCCGGGCCCAAGGGAGCCTGGCTGGCCGCCTGGGCAGCCCTCCCCTGACGCCTTCCATGCACCCACCCCGCCCTCCCCACCAGCCTGCAACCTGGGAAGAGCAGAATGGCTGTTGGCTCTCCGGGGCACCCACCCAGGTTCTCCACTCTGGGACAGCACACAGCAGATGGAGCTTCTAGAACTCTCAGGACCACTGGCTTGGCCGGCATGGCGCACGGGTGCTGCAGGACACTGGCTCTGAAATGCATGTGTGCGTGTGCACGGGCACAAGCATGCACAGCTGGGCAGAGGGGCATAGTCCTCAGAGTGCCTGAAAAGGGAGGCAGGGGGCAGCCTCGAAATCTGGCACATGGCTGGAGTGAGGGGGGATCGGGGATACCAAGATGGCAGGAGGGCAGCTGAGAGCTGGCAGAACCTGGGTGCACATGGCGGTGGGGCTCACGGGTGGAGAGGTAGCCACGGTCCACCGTGCAGAAGGAATGTGAGCAGCAGCAGTGGGTTCCAGGCCAGGAGGGACCAGAGGAAAAGAGACCAGGAGGCTGTGGACGCAGATGACTGGTCACCCCAAGAATAACGGGCACCAGCCAGGCTGGGGAACAGGGCTGCCTGCTGGTATTGAGGGGGCCTCGCAGGGGGCTCAGAGAGGCTCCCATCAGGCCAGTCTTGGGTGGGAGTCAGCTCCAGGGCTCCACCAGCCTACACTGTCATCGAACCCCTCCACCTTCGCCCCACTCGGCTCCCAGTGATGCTTGGGGAGGAGGGCCGCCGGGGCCCCGCCAGGAGAGAGAGCTCCCAACAGCAGAGTCCGAATCAAGATGAACTTCTTTTAAGTTTATCTTTTTTTTTTTTTGAGAGGTTTTTCGCTATAGGGCGCGTGCGCTCACCAGACAGACAGACAGAGAGAGACATAGAGACAGAAAGTGAGAAATCACCCCCCAGGGGGGATGGTCATGCTGCAATCCCTTCTCCTCCGTTCTCCTCTCGGGATCTAGGGCATGCGCACACACGCGCCCGGCGTGAGTTTTAAGCCACTGGGTCCAGGACGCAAATGGCGGTCGACTACGTGGGAGTCCAGCGACATAGCCATTACGCTAACTGCTGGTTCCCAAGTTTATCTCTTTCATTAGAGAGAAAGAGAGACCTCCTTGACAGAGACAGAGAGAGAGACCTCTTTGACAGAGAGAGAACTTGACAGAGAGAGAGACCTCTTTGGCAGAGAGAGACCTCCTTGACAGAGAAAGAGAGAGACCTCTTTGATGGAGAGAGAGAGAGAGAGACCTCCTATCAGAGGGAAAGGGACCTACTTGACAGAGTCCCGCTGTGACACCACAGTCCTGCCCGAGCTGCCCAGCCGGCCAAGATTATGGACTTGTGGGCATGCCTGGCATGTTCAGGTCCACCTGGGCTTCCCATGTGTCTACAGCATCACGCGATGACAGCCACCCCCAGCCCACCTTCCCCCGGGCTGGGCAGACACTGACGCTTATCCCTTCCTGCCTGGATTGTGATGTTGGTGCACACCCCCAGGCCAGCTCCGACAGGGCCCTTTGGAACCTCAGGCAGTCCCCCCGAAAGCCCTGCTGCCCCCCACCCCCGTTCTTGCCTCTGGTTCACACCAGCAAAGCCCCCTCTGGGCTTTGGGCTCTGGGTTGCTGGTCCCCTGGCCCAGAGGCCTGACAGTAACCTCTGGCCCTCCGGGACGGCCCCCATTGACAGCTGCCCGAGAGAGTATTGTTCACTGCGAGCTCCGTCCGAGGGTCTGGGTCCCTACGCCTCCACCCTCCTTCTGCGGCTCGTCCAGAACACGAAGAACTGCCATGATCGGGAGCCAGCGGGAGCTGGGAGCCTGCAGACCCTCCGAGCTGAAGCTGTCAATCACTGTCACCCTGTCCCTGCCCAGTGCCAGTCTCTGGAGTCACAGATGGCTGGTCCTCAGGGGTCTTCTGGGCACTCCAGTCAGGAGACCATTCCAAACACCAGGCTCTCCGCACCCTCCCCGTGGAAGGCCCAGGGCCGCACCCCTGAACCGTGTTGCCCGCTGTGAGTGTGCAGGGCCTTGGCTCCTGCTTGCTGCCCTGCCCACTGGGAGTCTGGAGACTGCTGGTTCCAGTGCCCCACACCCATCCTTCAGTGGGCAGACTCGGGAGTCACAGGCAGCACACGTACACAGCACACAGGCATGCATGCACCTGTGCACAGGCATAGGCACGTGTGCACACGCATGTACACACAGGCGCATACACCTGTGCACAAGCACACATGTACACACGCACCATCTGCACATGGGGCTCCAAATGGAACTGAAGTGAACTTCATGTATAAAAGCAAAATGACTCCTGTCTGCTGGGTGGGGGTGGGGGCGGCAGGGGCATGTCTAAGACCTGCAGACCAGGCAGGGGCGCCACAAGGACCAGGTTTGCCTCCCATTGCGTTCTCACCCAACCCCAACCAGCTCCTTCACGACAAACGCAAAGTTTAAGCCTGTGTGTTCTTCATGGAAGGATCTGGAAGCTATCCATTCCCACTCAGAGCAGAGCTCCCTGCCTTCCCCACTCTCCATGCTGGGTCTGTGAACACAGCTGGATGCTCCTTCCCCCACACCCCTCTCCCACCCCCAAGTCCATGCAGCCAGAGCCTGGCGGGCACCACGCGGTGGGATGAGGTGGGCAGGCTGCCCAGGTCACTGAGCGTGAGTGGCCTGTGCCTTCTACCCACAGTCCCCTTCAGGTCATCAGCCCCCAGGACTCACTCCTATGTTGTCCTCCTGCCAGGAGGGAGTGAGGGGCAGCAGCAGGGGCGGGGAGGGGCGTCTGGGACGCACAGCCTCGCGCACAGCACGGCTCCGCGGGAGGAAATGAACTCTGGGGACGAAGCCCCGCCACTCAATATTTCGGCCTGTCCACACACGGCCGGGAGCAGCTTTCTCTCCCTCCCCCGAAGCACCAGCTTCTCTACAAATTCCCCAGCTCCCATGATTTTAATTTTACGGTTCACATTTTCTCCCAGCAGCATCCCGGGATGACAAGGTGGGAAGTCTGCCTTGATTAACTGTCCCTCTGGCGCCAAGGCAGGGCCCGGCGTGATAAATAGCAGGGATAAAACCGAGAGAGGCGGATGGCAGGCAATCGGCAGGCCTGGCCGTAAATCCCGGCTCTGATGGGGCCGAGATGAGCTGGCTATTTTATGGACGGGGAGAGCGGCTGGAGGCACAGGCACTCGCGGAGCTGGTCTCCCCACCCCTGCCCGCTCCCCTCCCCCACTCCATGCAGTGGATATTGTTTAAGTAAGACAGAGTGGAATCGCTCCATTGTGCCATTGATTTTTAATAAAAACAGGTAACATGCTGCAAATCTCACAGTTATTTCATTTCTCCTCTCCTCTGCCCCAATGTCCACAGCTTCCCTGAGGCTCCAGCTGATGGGCCGTTGCTGTGGCTGGGGTCCACAGGGCGTGAGCCCAGCGTGGTGAGACATTTCCAGAAGCCCTGACTGCCTCTTCACACACATGCATAAACATGAAGCACACATACATGCACATGTATGTGCACAAAAACACATGTGCTTACACTCAGCTCGCATGCACACATCTGCAGATACATGCGCCTACACAATCATATGTGCACGGTGCGTGCACGTGCATGGGTGTGTAAACACACACACACACGCATGCATGTATGTGTACCCCTACATAAAAGAGCAGTCAGGGAGAACAGACAATCCAAGGCAGAGTTTTCCTGCCAGAAAAGGGGCCCGAAGCGAAGGCTTGGAGAGCCAGGCAGCTCCCCTGGAAGATGAGTGAGGCGGCCTGAGCTTCACACAGCCCAGATGGAAACGGTGCAGGAGGGACTGGGCCCAGCAGCAGCACAATACCAGCCCCAGGAGGAACCCAGCCTCCTGGCAGTTCTGGTCAGCTGCATGGGGCATGCTGAGCGCAAGTGGGGCCCAGTCCGGTTACACCGCCAGGCGCCTTCACCTGTACCATGGGTAGGCACAGCCTCAGCTGCTGAAACAGCGCTGCCCTGCCTGAGCCATGCACGTCCACGGGGCTGCCAGCATTTTCAGGGCATTTCCACAACAGCCCTCCTTTCAGTGTCACATTTGCCATTCCTGTGACTCGGGGTGGCAGACGCCATCACGCCACCTGGTAAACCAGGGCCCTGATGAGCCTCCTGGCCAGCTCCCTCCCCCGCCCGCCAGAGCACCGCCTGCGCCACCCAGAACGGTCCACCTGGGCCCTGGAGCCCCTCCCTGACTCCCACACTCCATGGAACCTGCAGCCCTGGCCACCCTGTGGACCTCTGTGACCAAGCTGCTGCATGTCCCGATCCCTGGACCATGCCTTCCGCCTGGGCACCCCAGGCATCAAGAGGGTGTGACCTTGGAAGTTGACCTGTGCCCTGCTGCTCTAGCTCCACCAACACAACCGGACCCCACCCTCTAAACACCTGCCCCCTCCCAAGCCCCTCCATCTCGCACCCAAATGCTCACACATGGCAGGGCCTTGCTCCAGCCTGGTGTTCCTATCCCTGCAAGCCTGGACCGAAGGTTCTGCCCTCCAGCTTCCAGTAAGTGCGGGGCTCTGCCCAGCCCCACCCACCTGCTTCTGGTCCGAGGCAGCCACAAAGCCATGCGGGAGAAACGTGCAGAGGCCCTGGTCACCGGGCCACCCCTCAGAATGCCCAGACCAGGGGCCACATGGATCGGGAGTCTACACCTGCAGAGAAATGACACTCCCCTCAGTGCTGCCAGGCCCCCAGCGGCCAAAAGCAGGTGCAGAGTTGACAGCGGTGGCAGGTGGGTCGCAGGCTGGTGGCAGGCTGGTGGCAGGCTGGTGGCAGGTGGGTGGCAGGTGAGTGGCAGGGGGGCAGCAGCGGGGTGGCAGGTGGGTGGCAGGTGAGTGGCAGGTGGGTGGCAGGGGGTGGGAGGTGGGTGACAGGCTGCTTCTGCATAGGCACACAGCACACACTGCCCCCACAGATTCCTTCCCCTCCAAGTCACCAGGGCCTGGGAGAATCCAGCTCCAGCCCTGGCCCTACTGCACTGGAGACCCCAAGGCTAAGCCCCTTCCCAGACAGCCCCTGTGACCGTGCCCGACTTCCCAAACACACACACACACACTCACACCCACGTGCAGGGGCTCATGCTCACACACACGCTCATACCCAGTCACACCCACGGGCAGGGCCTCATGCTCATACGACGCCACTGGCTGAGAAATAGCCAAGGTCAGCTTCCCTTGGACAGTATCCCCCCACTTGGGACTTACTAGGGAAAGTGCCAAGACCCCCTCCTGGGTTCCTCGCCAGAGACTAGGCCGCAGGGCGGGCTGAGCTGGCACTGGCGCCCTGGTACTGGGTGGTGACTCTGGCCAGGCTCCCGTGGTGCCAGCGCCGCCTGCCTGAGCCGCCGGTTGTGCTGCTTGCCAGATTTTGGGGGGCAGCGACTAGAGTCGGGGCCCATCCCTGCCTGCCCCTGGGGTCCGTCCCAGGGAGGTTGCCGCGGGAGCAAATGAAGCTCGCAGTGCTGGGGCCAGGTAGTGGCACAGGGTAGAACGTGGCGCTCCAGGCCAGCAGGTGGTGTGGTGGTTAAGGCACTTCCACATGGCCAACCACGGTTTGAGTCCTGGACCCCACAGCTTTAGTTAAAAAAATAAATAAATAAAGCCATGCTCTGTGAGGCCAACTACATGGAAGTTTCCGGGTTTGCGTCCAGAGGCCTCCCTGAGCACACCAGACACCCACATGCCCACAGTCTGGGGCTGCTCGGGCTGGGTGGCTCATGGATCAGACTGTCTGGGGTAGTGTC